TTACAGTCGATGAGTGAGGCCCTGAGATTTCCTTTTACACACTGATTCCAAGGTAAAAAGACTAAGCTGAAGAAGCAAAACCCCTTGAGTTTAAAATGAAAAATGTCACAGGTGCTGAGTATTTTTATTGGGCTGGCAAAGAGGACAGGGGAAGGGGACCAAGGGAGCTTTTGTAAGGCTGTGGCTGGGAGATGGGGAAAAGAACTCGGAGTTCATAGGATATGAATGGGTGCAGACTTCTCTCTCCTGCAGAGACCAGCGGAGATGTTCTCTGGTCCTTTTCATCTGGTGGCAATGTTCCTCAGTGCCAGGTGAGTTCACAGCAAAATCTCATGCATCCCTGACTCAAGCATGATGAACCTGACCTGGCATGCATCAAGTTGATCGACCAGCCCCAGTTCTCAGCTCGAGTGCAGGCTAGATCAGGGTGGGGAAGTCACAACGGTCCAAAAATGCCATCTTGCTAGTCAGGGCATATCTGAGCCATAGCAAGCCATGGGGACCTGCAATACCCAGTGCTGGTCCTGGGGGAGCTAAGTGTCCACCGAGGTGGTCCAGACTGCCTGGTTCAAAATGGAATGGTCCACGACTCCATCGAGGCAGTTTCCATTTGTCGTCTGGTTCAATTTAGTCTTTGCCTTGGGTTGTGAAGGTAGTTGTCTGGACATTGATAGGGGTGTGTTTAAGATCACATTGTCATGATAGGAACCGCAATTAGTTTGGTCTCACCCTACAGTGGTGCATGATACATGTAGGTGCACCCTACAGACTTGGGGAATTTGATAAAAATCCTGGGTTCTCAGGGGAAATTCCAATTTGCCAGAGCAGTCCTGGCAGCTCTATGGAACAGTGAGATGCTTCAGGTGTCCTTGCCAGAAGTACAGAACTGGGCTCTTCCCTGGTTTTCTGGGACCTCTGGACCATGAACAGGGCCGGAAGATGGCCAGACCATGTGGTTCAAGTCTCATCATGATGTTGATCAAAAGCATGTGAGGATGAGTAATTGTTCCTTCTGTGCGGCAGTGAAGGAAGCACAACAGTCCCACTAGGCCAGTGGTGGAGAACCTATGGCACGTATGGCGCAGCAAGCACGGAAAGCCCTCCCTGTCGGCACGCGAGCCAAGTTGCCCCAGCATCACGCCAGCAGCCGAGCATCGGATAACAGTGCACATAGGGGCCATGCGCTTGCTCAGAAAGGAGTAGCGGCGCCAGGCAATGATGTCACGAGCCACAACTCGTTAGCTGCGACTCATCCAAGCTTTCGCATGGCCGTCAGTGTGCTGCAAAGGATATATATATATTTGCTTGGACTGGCTTTTTCTTTACTAAAACCTCAGTATTCAGGTTTTATTGCAGTGTTGGCATTTCGCGTTAAGTGGATTTTGGGTTGCGGTTTGGGCACTCGGTCTCTAAAAGGCTCGCCATCACTGCACTAGGCTGTCTCCTCTACATTTTCAAGTAGCTATTCAGCAGAACTTTTTGGTGTAGTTCATAGTTTGTCATCATGTAACACAATCAGAGGCCTTTCATAATGATTTTCTGAGGCGCTATGAAAAAAGCAAAATCATATGAGAAATAAAAGGATTTTGCATCACAAGGGGAGGTGGCGGTAGACAAGGTTGCTGCTGAGAAATGCCCATACTGTTGAGGGCACTGGCAAACATGTATTCTAGTTTACTGCCTTTTGGGCCATTGTATCAGTAGTTGGATTAAGTTTCTAGTGAGTCCTTTTCAGAATAGTGTTCGTGGGTCCTTGGCATGTCTGCCAGAACTGTGTGAACAGTCAGTACTGATGGTGGATGTGAAGCTGGCAAGGATGATACCAAAATTGCTGCCACTGCAACAACTGAAGGAGTCTTTGTTACAAGCCACATTATTTTACTGGGTCAACCAGTTCAGGGACATGCTCCCACAACACCACATGAAGTTAGGAGTTATGCCGTTTAGTAAGACATGCAACATGTACATGTTGCTACGTGTGGCCTTTGCCAAAACACATTAAGGCAAAATTGGAGAACAAAACAAAATAATTGAATGGAATAAAGAGACCAAGTCTCTGGATGCTGAAAGTTTATACGTGGTTTTATTCCAAGAGGTAATCCTATGCATTTTGGTCCCGAGTACAGGTCTTCTTCGTGAATCAGGTTTACCGATGGATATATAGGTCTGTAGGGAGCTCTGGAAAAGATAAACTCCAAGATGATTCTCAGACACAGAACTAGAACAGGTCAAGATCGTGATGATATATTGCCAATAGTTTAGTCCCACTCTACATACTTATAGAAAGGGGCGTGCAAAGCCATATGCCACTGAAGAAACCCACAAAGAACACATTAAACTGGGTGAATGAGTGTAATGCAAAGTCAGACAGAAAACAGTAAGAAAAAGTGAGATTACTTAGCTCAGTGGCAATGACCGGGGCAGGGGGGAGACACACACAGCAATCTAGCTGGTAAAAGTTAACAGTACAGCATTTGCAGAAGTCAGAGAAACAGAGGAGAAAGGTGCAAGCAACATCTTCTAGGCTGGTGCTGCGGGTGGAGGGAATGGGCTTCCCACCTAAGTCTTAGCTCTGGAAGGTTTGTATAAAGGCTCTGTGCAAGTACAGCAGCCCTATGAGTGACGTACTGTAACATCCGTGATATTCAGCTACTGAAGTTTCTTCGAATCTAGGCCTTGCACTGCACAGCAAAGGCCACATGTGTGATGCACAGAGACCATGATGAACTTATGGCTGTTAAGGGTGAGCGCATATACTGCAGCATGAGCTTTTGTGGGTAGAGACCATCAGATCTATAGTGCACTTAACAACCGGCAAATATATATATCCCCAACAGGGGGAACTAAGGATGCATCACATGAATTTGGCTCTAACCCGCAAAAGCTTAAGCAAAGCTTAAGCATGTGTTAGCCTGTAAGATACTCAAACATTTTTGCAGCTGAACAGACTAACACTGCCTGCTCAGTAGTCCCATTTCTGATGCTTTCTATTCAGAAGCAGAGCACTGGGTTCAGTTGGGCATACTCCTCATTAACATGGCATAGGATTACTGCTAAAATCACTGGAAGCACATGTGTTTAAAGAAACTGTATACAGAAGCAGTCCTTCTGATTGTTCCTAAAATAAAATAGCATGTAACTTGCATCTTGGGTTCTAATTTTAAAAGCATGCAGTTGCAATTAAGATTTCGATGCTTTGAAAGAAGTTGAATTTGCTTTGTTTTATTAGAAAAAATACTCAGGCAAGGTCTACAATCATCTGTCAATTATGAATAGCATACAAGTAACTTATGAAGCATTAAAATTTAAAAAATACAAACTATATCTGAAAACACCTATTTGGCAATTTTATAACTTTTTCTTAAAAAAGGACCAAAGCAATTGCAGATGACCATATAAGATAAAGATTAAGCAGTAACTGAAGTGCTCAAGCAAAATTTAAAAAACGAACAAAAAGAAACTGCATTTGTTTTAAATAGTTACATTGCTACAGCGCTTTATGAAATACCATTATTAAACAACTATTCCAGAACCATTCCATGTTCGCAGTGCTCAAAATCTGCACATCAGTAAGGAATTTAAATGCATTCAGAACATTCTAAAACCACTGGGAGGAGCCATGTAATCTTGGTTAAGGATAGACCCCTTCTATGGTTTTGGAAAATGCTACCCTCTCCAATCCGAAAGCTTAGCCTTTCATTTTTTGCCTTTTAATAAAAAAAAATAGTGTAAAAACAGCTGGTATTTATATTCACTGTAGTAATGCAAAAATTCCTCCTAAACAGGGAGGGTTAATCATGCAGTTTGACTGCATATAGCCACCATATATATATATTTTACATTTGTTCCTTCCAACAAGCAAGGAAAAGACTGATATCATATCCATTACTAGCAATGAGTGCCATAAATTTCCCATGGATACTGCTACATCCTTCAAAGATTTCTGGAAGGATGCTTAATGTGTTTTTGTTCTTACAACAGTAGTATATAGTCTCTTAGAAATCCAAAAGACTTTTTTATTGTTAAGAAAGGTGCTTTCTTTTAAACAAATTCTTCTGGCAGCACTAATGAATTACAATATCCTTCAATATTATTTCTACCATAATATACATTTTAACTTCCATGCCTCTAGAAAAAACATCTACAATACATCTCATAATATAAAAATATATTACAAATCTGCAAATGTATTTACAAGCCATGTTCCATTATCTATATGAAACAATTTTTTGTTTTTGTACAAGAAGAACATGGTACACATGTATTTCTATTTCTGTAGGTTACGAAAATCCATAATTTCTTGCCTAGTAAAGCGAGGAAGTGATTTAATTTGTCTTTTCAGAGCCAACTTTGGTGCATAAACGATTGTATTTTTAGATGCTTCTTTTTAAAAAATACAATTTTTACAACTAGAAAAATTTAGGCCAAAAGGAGGGGAAGGGGTTTCTTCAGAAGCAAACGAGTTAAAGGCCAACAAGTAAACAAAACAATGTTATCTTTTTCAGCAGAGGTTATCCAAGTATCTCTAATTAACATACAGTAATAGTCTTATGGAGAGGGTTAGATATACAGCAACACGCAACATCCATCAGCCTCACTTGAATGAATATTCCACAAGAAATAAAATAGGTCACCACCATTTTGCTTAAACATGATACCACCAAGTAGGGTTATGTGATAAGATACCACAAGTTCACAAAAGTGACAACTGATACTCTCCACCATATTCTGAGAAAAGAATTCTCTTTAGTGTGCATTTTGTGTTCCAAGAGCAAGATACCTAGAACTGTTTACCAGGGAGGAAGGGAGGGAAGGAAGGCAGGAAGGGCCGGTGGGGAGGGTT